ACGACCAACAGGTTCGTCAATACTAACGGGAGAGGTCTCGAGGTTTCACATTCTGACTTAATACGTGACTGTTCAAATCTTTGGCTGAGGGCCACAGTTTTAGTGAAACTGAAATTTGTGGTTTTGCTCTCCAGGTATACAGGCTCTCCTTTTCATCTGATGAGATATCTCATTAACATGAATAAAGAAAGTAAAAAAGGCACTAATTGCGAAATCGCCGAAATGTCGACCATTAAAACGGAAAGCAGTGGTATGCGGTTTGCTGATATAAACTGTGCAACTCATGGTCTGATCTGCGCCGGAGAAAAGGGACGGCCCTTTTGTTACCCTTCTCTCTTCATGCCTAACGTGCAAGCATTTCTGAGAGCGTTTTTTACTTTCCTGACGGTCATTTGGATCACAGACTGGTTGCAACGTTTTTCGTTTTATTAATGCTATTTGTGTATATTTCCCCGTCACTCTTTTTGCATCCAGTGTGCCTCATTGCTTCTCGAAAGTAGCTGAGTTTAATGCCCCTGCAGTCTTTTAAATAACCTCACGAGGATGAGCATATCTTGGAGGTGGAGGAGTTGCTTTTATCGTGGCTTTTGTGGACAGAACTAACAATATTAGAAAAAATCATGCAGTATGAAACTGTGAATGTTTTGAGACGAAGTGTGTTGCCTTCGCAGAGAGGGACAACTAAGCCAAAATGTTGTGCAGCACGTGTCTAATTGTGTCCATTTTCACTGATTGGTGCAATCCAGTGATGAAACAACGGATTTGTTCCTCCGTTTTGATTGATTAACTGATACCGCTAATGATAGTGAAGAAGATTGCTAAGGTGGTAAATTACTTTTCAGTATTTGTGTTCACTTTTATTTTATCTGTTTGCGATTGATTTGATGATCGTATTCCACGCCTTAGCACTGCTCTATGTTGTAAACCGCGGAAATCGATTCCAGGTTGACTGATTTATGGATACAAGTTTTTTAGTGTCTGCGGCATGTATAAGTTCTTGGAGTGATATGTACATTTGCGTGTTGTGTGTCAGCTGAACGAATGAACACCAATCTACAGGCCCCAATGAATCACTCAATATTCATTGCGTTTCGCGTGTCCAACTTGTTTTTGTTGTTGCTGTCGTTGAATCTTTTTCAAACTAGCTTTTGATGTAATCGGTTCGCAGCATGTGGTAGCAAATTTTGATCATACTGACATCAAATATGGCATGTTCTTCCAACGTATATCAGTGAACAATTACCGGTCGAGTTTGAAAACGTTAGCCAGGAACGGGGTAACATAGAGTAACACTACTGTTCTGACTGAAAATGGTATTGGCTTTAATAGTTCTGTGTGATTTCACATGTATACATGCATAGTTCGCTTTACGGATGTTTGGTGTTTGGAATTAACCCATGGAACTGGATTGGAGCCAGCGGTGGCCCCATGAGAGTCGCTTAGTCAACAAGAGGAAAATGGGGGTCAGCGAAGGGTGGTGGAACGGAATGTGTGCGAAAACATAGGATTACGGGGTTTGCTAACGAATAGCTGTTCCAATTTTCCATTTTCCATGTCGATTTCCATTTGCTTACAGATAACTCAAACACATACAAACATACAAACACATGTACACTGGGATTCATAATCCCTGAAGTTCCATGGATGAATAGAATTGGCCTGGGTTTTAAGTAATGAAATGTGCTTGAACAAATTCCAAACCCGAGAGTACCTTCATTGGGATTTATGTTTAGAAACGAGAGAGAGAGCGCGCGCAAGAAGGTGCTATAAATTTAGTAGATATATCAATTTTAAATCAGGTTTGCATACAATAAGGGAGGAGTTGAAATCGAAAAAAATGTACCACTGAAATCCATGATTAAATAGCACTAGTTCTATTAATTGTGACTCCCACTGTTATCTGTTCATAATAGCAAAACAGCTGGTCCATGTCCTTTTTAATGATGCAATATGTTTGAAAATGTCGCCCACGGAAAACGGAAACCGGTCACACGACTTTGTCTTATCACATGTGCATACATACTGTGTCGTTAGATCCACATCATTCGGTTATTGAGGTCAGAACATGAATAATGTTATCTTCCATAATAGTCGTACAGATTTTTCGTGCAGGGTCCGGCTGGACATTAAAACGTCTTCCATAATACACTATACTCCAAAGGTTCTGCCATTGATTACCGTTGGAAAAGCATATGAACTAAGCTCACCAAAATCCAAGCCAACACAGGTAAGGATGTCGATCCGATCATCTGAATAGTATGGGTCAACACTCACCCAGTCAGCATTGGTAATACTGGACCATAAAAGGTTAATATTTAGAAGGTTGAAGATTGATTTATTTATTGTGTATCGCGTTTCGTTCAGTTTGTTGAGCGAAATCATTTCACGGGAAATACAGATGGGCAACAACTTTTGGAAAAGTTCAAACACAGACCGGGCACCGTGATTTGCGTTCTAGAGTATGGATTAGAACTATTTTACATTGAGGAATAAGAATTCCGTAGCTGGTAAAATAGATGTTTTACCTGTCGTGACCATGGGCGAAGGTTTTACAAATCACCACACAAAGCCTTGCTTTATCGCAATGGTCTTTAGAATGAATCACGTTTTACTTTTGCGGAAACGTGCATCTCATAAGCTGGATCCACGCTTGCAAACATTTGAAAGCCAATTCAGATTTGCATTTTCATTAAAAAAGAAACTGAATATAAATTTGGGACAACGGAGTTTTGTTGATGTGGGAATCCGTGGGCCCAGGTGTCTCTGACACCANCTATCAAGCCGTGAAAACGATTGTTGCATCGGATTTGCCATCATTACTGAAACCAATTTCGATCAACTTGGTAACTATGTGAATCTGCTTGGTTGCTTTGGTGAACCAACCTCAGTGGGACGTTTGGTGATAGGCGGCTTTCTATGATAGCAAGACTCCGGTTGTTTTACCCTCCTAAATCTCAAAAGTTAAATCTCTGGATCTCATCATTTAGTAGGGGGGCCCTCGAGAATATGGATTGATACATTGCTAGTGTTCATCGTGTGGAAAAAATCAGAGATTAAGCAACAAATTACGGACAAGATTTTGGTTTTGCAAATATCCTTTTTGAATTGGACATATAAGAATATGACAGAAAAATAATGAACCGGAATGCTAAACGATTGAACCAGCATATACTTTCATCTGACTGACGTAGCATAGTGAATTAGCCGCTATTTTAGTAGAGGAATACCAAGAGGCAAAGGCGTTTGGACGCTAATGTGCAAGCGAACACTTAGCTGATTTCTTACATTCTGAGCAAAACTCCTTAGCAGTTACGTTGAATGCGGAAGTACTTGATGAACAATAGAAATCTCAAGGGAGCTATAGCTTGACAAACAGAGCGACGTAAACTGTTCAAACGTCTTTTCAAAAGAATCGTGATTTGTTTAAAACTACTTGCTGACGATTGTCCGTCGCGCTCATTTCGAAGCATTATGACTAGTGAATTCTTCTGTTTGTCTACTAATGTGTTTTATAAACATTAAAAACGGATTTTCGAGCTAAGAAACATCTCCCTTAATTAGCAAACCCATTCTTGGTAACCCATTTTGCATCATTCATTCAAACCTCATCTGAACCTGGTAAATTGCAATGGCCAGATAAACATATTTCACCCGCCAGATTATTTCTCTATCAGTGTAACATATTTTTGTTTACATTGTATGATTAAAAGATATCATTCCTTAATGTTGGGTAATTTTGATATCCGTGATGTCTGTGACAATCAATCTTAAATTTGTTTACAAATAATGTTAGCGTATAATACAAAAGTTGCAGGGTGATATGATATTATAGTTTCCTTTTATGACTACTTTTCATTGATATGGGAAGACTGTTGTCAGTGGTGAGTAAATATTACCCTAACTAATGCATCTGACCCTACAGGTTCATGTTTATTTCCTCCAGAACCTTAGGTTGCATGCAGACATGGGTCAAGAGGATGTTGTGTGATTGCATCCTCCATCTTTTCCATTCTTCTTTTATTTCAATCTGTTCTGACTTATTATTTTTCGTGCAATTTCTTTTATCCAGGAAGATTTTTCATGCCAAACGAGAAACGCTCACCTCAACAATCTCTATAAAAGTGAAAAAGCTTTTTGTCATAACTGCAGGGGGTAAACGCGTTATTTTTTAGTCTGACCAATGTCGAGTAATTGACGGAAACAAGCACAGAAAACAGATGATTTGAACCACTTTCGTCTTGATTTGGAACAGAATTATCGTAATCCTGTGGCAAACAAGGTTTACCCTGGTTAGTTATAATAATAGCAATTTGAGCCTATTTATGAGATTACCGGGTGTTTAATTTCCATTCTAAGATTAAAACGCATTTGTTAAGCCCACTTGGCTGTAACCTGCGCAGTATTACTAAAAGGAAGGATGTAATGGTGGATGTTTGTTACAGAGGAAAGTAAACGAAAATATGAACAATTTTTACTTGCTGTATCTTTATCAATTTGATTTGATTTTTGAAATGAATCCCATATTAGATTTCACTGGTGTTTTGCACTGTCAATGGTTAAATCAGTTATACCGCAGTTGTGAAACATTCAAAGACTAAAAGCGTTTACTAAAAGGTCCTTTGTTACAAAGGCTTTTATAGGGTGTCAGTTATCTTCAGTTCACGGTGGAAGTAGGTTGTTCAAATTCCACCAACACTGTCTTTCCTTCCGAATTTCAAATTACATCCTTGTATCTTTCGGAGTTCACGTATAACGTATCGTAAAATATGATAGCACACTTTTGCATTCAATTAAACAAATAATGTAGATTTCAAAGCTCTTCCTAAAACACCATTGCAAATCAAATTTTGTTTTCAGTCATTTTGAAAAAGGGGATGCTTTTCTATTTATTTCAAACGAGCTAAATTTGTGGGCATTTTTTGAAGATATATTGAAGCTTAAAATAGCATAATTCACTCATTGGAAATCAGAAGAAATTTCATTATGGATCTTTTTTCAACCGTTAACTAGTTCATTGCAATTATTTTCTTAAACTTATGAAGTTTTGAACTTGAATCAACTGTCAGACGTGCATTGGATTTTGTTATCCAGGACTGTGATGGGAGAAATTCACTTTTCTTATTACCGACCTTGACAGAAGCAATGTTTTGCAAGATAGAAGTAAGCTTGTCGTGTGAAAATAAAATTCTCACCTAATAAACATAATATATCCCCACTGGCATAGGGAACGTTATTGAATCCATCACTCCAAACTTCAAAATCATAACGCATTACAAAGGAAATTCTTTATGGTATATAGTATTGTTATAAATTTATGAACAGTAAATCAAATCAGAAATGGAAATAAAGGCAGTATTTCGAAAATTAATTTTCAATGTAAATGTACCTTAAATTCAAAGGTTTTAGTTCATGATGCATATACTCTGCTGATATTTTGATGATCATGGCTTTCTCATAAATCTATCCAGCTGATCATTCTGATTCTAAATTTTTTCGAAGGTTGCAGTGATTACGACCCACGATCGGGGTCTGTGCTTTCAATGAGCAAATCTGATTTGAAGCAGAAGAACCGAACATCATTGGCACAGTTTCAGTTGGATGCTCTATGTCCTGGAATCTCTTACTGTCTCCGACTGGTCGCTGCGAGTGTTCTGGGATGGAGTGATCCCTCTGAGGAGCTCGAATTCAGATCTCCACACGGCAAAGCTGGTAAGTTCAAGCTGGTATTTAACCTGTAACAAAATCGGTTCTGGTCCCATTCATATAAAGTTACATTTGAGTTTCCGTTTTGTTTCCGGTGGCCTAAACCGTGTAACGTTAAGGTTATTTTTAGTCTGTTGTGAGTTATTGGCCTAGATCAACTTCATATGTATGCATTGAACGATGTCTTCAAAAAACTTTACAACATTTTTAAGGTGTTCACATGTCTTGCTGAAAAACCCTTGAGGTGTCTGTCTAGTCCTTCTTTCGATTACTCAACAACCCACATCTACCAACTTCCAATGGGACACAAAAGGGAACGATATGGGCTATCAAATCGTTGCATATGGTTGTCCTTGATGGGCTTGCTGCCAGTCAACAAAGCATGATGTGCTGATGTCGTCATACGCACTGATCTTCATTACCACTGTTTTTGGGAAAAGATTCAGAGAAAACCTAGGGAAATATGATGTGTGAGAAACAGAAATATAACAGCTTTTTATTGAGAACTGTTTGAAACTAAATTAACCTAACAAAATTATTTTTTAGACAAATACAAACTATACATCAAATTATTTTGCAGTATTATAACAATGTAAGTGAAACATGAAATGTATTAAACGCTTCTGGTGAGGTTATGCGAACTCGTGTCTGTAGGATACTAAAATTTGACAAGTTTGTGCACCGTTCCCTACAGAGTTGAAGTTTGACTATGGAAAAAATAGGATTTTATTCGAAATTTGTTGACACAGGGATGCCTGATTAGCTTGCTCTGTTCCGAAGGTATTAAAAAAATGCGACCAATAGTAAACAGTATTTTTTATGGATTGCAATTGATGGCACTTTTGTATCAGAATTTTATACTGCAACTGATTGTTTTGCAGCACTGACTAGGAACAGAATTAATTACCAAGAATGAAATTTACTCACACCTTCGATAACTTCCGGCTTTACTTTTTAAACGTTGTTTTTAAAATTTGTTGTATAAGCAGATCACAGAATTAACTTTAATAAGTTCGTAGTTCTCGTCATCCATTCCCAGAACGTTCTTAGTCACTTGTTGGTAAATGTGAAATTTCAAATCAGTGTACGGTCTTTCTTCTCGCAGCAAACACATCACTCAGACCCAGCAATGTACACTTATTGTTATCCAATTTTTATGCTAAGTTTTGCCCCCTGGAATCACAAAACGAGTGTAATCGTCGATATTCGTTGTTTTGCTTTTTATAAGTTAAAATACCGTTTAAAGTAGAAGAACCAATGGGGTTCGTCCAGGGTTTATTAGATCGAATGCGGAGCTGTTCACGATGATCATATTTTCTTGCTGTCTGGTTTTTCTTGACTATTCAAGCTTTAAAACAACACCCGTATTTCGGTGACTCGAATTAGATAATGGATTTGATGAATCCTAACGGCTATTCCATAGTACCTTATTCAAAATGCTGATTTTGTAAAACTCACCATTCTGTATCAGTGACAAAGAATGAATTCCGTTAGTAATCCTCTGGCCTTGGATGTTCTTTCATATCATAGGCACCAGAATGCATTAGAGTATTTAGGTAATTTCAAAATGATGCAATAGTTTTCGTGAGCTTCTAGTCAAGTTGTCATCTCTGCCGCGATAACTTACATTTATCTTATTTCTTTGCTGATCTGAATATATCCATCAGTTTTGTACCATCCAGATGCGTTTTGCGAATAAAATTGATTGATCAACCTCTAACCTGCGGTCGGCAATAGATTTCATGATATTGCCTGGTGGCTTACCTTGATGGAGCTTCAATGGCCAGAAGAAAATAGTGTTTTAGATGCCTAATAAACAGGCGTCTTCCAGTGCGCTTACGGGGATTGAGGTCACCTATGGACTTCCATATAGCAGACGTTCGTATTTACCAATATGAAAGAGAATATATATACATTAGAAGCAAATTCAGTTCCTTAATTGACCGTATGGTTCAGATAGCCAAGAAGTTTATTACAAAACAGATAACGAGTGTAGCATATGTTCCAGTAAATATGAAAAACGATGAGCAAAAGCGATGTTCACTGCATGTTTACTGTCTGGGGATGATAAATATTAAGCGAGACGAGTTGTCATCTATAGCGTGTTCAGACAATGAAATGCTCTACCTGTATGCACATAAATTGACAATTTCATTGACCAAGTATCTCATCCGCGAATATCATGTTTATTTGATGTAAAAAATAAAAAAAATTGATTCTTTTTTGGTCTCAATGCAAACATTTGTGAGTAGGTCTTTATTTATCTGAATCCGGAACTGCGTTTCTTAAACAAAATTTATGACTCAGATGGAGGACTAATGATTGATAGGAAGATGTGGAAGCTTCTTTATTGATTATAAGTTATAAATAGATCTTTGACAGGGAGTTCCCACGGTTTACCAATCTAGTTGGCTGGTGGTTGTGGCTTTGCGGTGGAAATCAGGCTAATGAAATAGAGGGATGTATACATGAGCACATATGGATTGATTGAAGGTTAACTTTATGGCTTCCTCATTAATGTCTTCTAAGTTGCAATTAAACTAACGAACAAAACAAAATATACAAAGCAGCCTCAGAGACAATACACAGGACGGTGTGCATGACTTTGCACCTCAAAAGGGTATTAAATACAGAGGTATAAGCCATTGTGGTGGGTGTTTTTTGATTGGGCTCTGGTGACTCAGCTCAAAATTAGAAAGAAACTAGAATTTCAGTATAATCACTTTTTATAAACTCATTTGTTCTAACTTTTGCATGACGCAATTCGCATAAAACTGAATCGAAGAAAATGATAGAAATTACATCTATCGAAATCATTTGGAGTTTTAGTAAGGACCGTGGTGATGCTTGAAGTCGATTTTAGGTTCAAACAGATTGAGAATGACTAAATACAAACACGCAAAATAATAGTGATCTGGTCTCCCATGAAATGAGTTTTATCATCTATTTTACTGCACCAAATTGATGATGCTTGATGATACTCTATTATAATTGGTCGTGCTTTTAAAACGATTTCTAATATATCTGTTCTCAACTGATTAATATTTTCTCTACAGAACCAAGTCTACCGAGTTCCGAAATGTTTTCAATGATTTCTACAAACGACACGATCGATATTGCCTGGACTGCCTATTTAAACAATCCCAGCTGCATCATCCAGTCAACAAACCTTAATTATCAGGTAGGTCAACAGAAAGCCTTAGAGTAAAGGCGAATTTTGTTTTAAATTGTAAGACATTCGAATAACTGGAGCACCTTTTTCTTACAAATAGACAAGATTATTTTTTTCTGGCTGACCCCCGAGTGTCAAGCAGGAAATGCGAAGCTCTCTTGAGAGTTTCCTCATGAGAATGGTGATATAATTCCATAAAGAATAAATAATCGACAGATCCTGTCCTTTGACAAGTATGTTAACTCACATACGTGTGATATTAGACTGATTTTCACTGGGTGCACATAGACTTGAGAAAACCTTTTATCACATAAAACACTGATACAAGCCATAAATGTGTTTAATTTATCTTGAGATGAAAAATGATAACCGCAAAACTGGTGTAATCTATTCGGCAGTAGTCTGCGAAAGAAGCCTTCTCCTCCCTCTTTCATCAACCAAAGGTTACTCTCCTTGCCCCGTACCCCTAATAAAAAGACAAATGCACCTCTCATAATTTCGAACAGAAAAATCAGATTTCCTGTGCATATTCGTTCGCCACTTTATTTAACTAGCAGGAACAAGATGACGGAAAAGTTAAATTTCACCACATTGATACAAAGTGACTAGCTAATCGGGCCGTTCGCCCAGCATGTCATGAAATTTGGAAGAAGGCTGGTGTGGTTAGCTACAGTTTGCCTTGCTGAAACTCTAGATTTTCCGCTATGTGAATCAAGCAGCCTAAGTAAATGCATCCAGCATGTTTATTCCATTTGTCATTATACTATGTTTAGTATGTGCCAAAATAAGAAACATTTTTCAACCAGATTAATCAAAGTTGCTGGAAACGATTTTACATCCTACCAGTTTGTTTATATGAAGATCTTTTTGAATGCTTTTGATAAAAGCTCCAAGCTGAACTAAGGATTGGCTTCCATCATTCAACTTTTTATTGGAAAGATGTCAATATTGTGGAACTGAATGAAACAATGTGTTGTCATATGTGCTTCTTCTTTCATTGATACCAAATAAATTACTTTTATATTATTTATAATCCAGATTTACAGATCTAGGATGCTCTGCAATGTAAAAATAGTATAGAAGGTCCTCTTTGAATTCTTGCAAGAATTAACTTAAGCACACTTAAAAATGAAGCTCATAACGTTTCAGCTAGAGGAACCCAGTTGTCCAGTTAGATTTTCAAGGCATTTTCAAAGGCATAGTGCTTACTCATTGTGTTATTTTCCAACTGAATCGAACCTAACGTAAGGGTTCGTTCTCACTGTCTGCTCACATCGTGTCAGATAAACACCCCGCGTAAAAGAAAAGTGGATGGATATGATGACAATAAGTTGCGATATTTTCAGTAGCGATTATCATTCACCTTTTGCGTTTGGAGATTTGCACCGACCCATCCTTAAGCTATATGTTTTTTTGATCAGAAAACAGAAAGCGGAGTGTCGTCTCCAGAAGAGCTCACCGATCAAATTAGGCGAGACACTCTTGGAGGGACATTCCCTCGGGCAATGCACATTGATGATTAACCCTAATAGTAAAAAAAGGATTTGTAATTTCCGGTAAGTTCACGGTCAGCACATGACTCAAACAGGCTTTTGGTTCTCCGCAACCAAATAACCCCGCAATGTGGCAAAATCTCCGAAGCCTATATTCAATCGATCATCGGTAGTCTTACACTGTTTCATTGAACTTGACCGTGCACACTCGTGTCCCCCTCCCCCCTCCCACACACACACACACACACACACTAAAAGCAGAGCTGGTACCCCAATAAGCAAAATAAACAGGAGAGTATGGGTCATTTAGTGAGAGAATGGTATCTCGTAGGAGATCAAGGCCGGGGGGAGGGCGGAAAATCAGGACAAAAGAATTTATGTTGAGTGACCCGTATTGTTATTTTAAGGAAAGCCACGTATAGCATGTAAGGTCATACGAATTAAAATAGGGAATGAGTCAGAGATAAAAAGGCACATTGTGGTCCGGCTGAATGAATGCATAGGTTGAAGACCAATCACATTTCTGCATCGCAATGCAGGCGCATTTGCTTTCTTCATTCGGTATCATACTGATGGATGACATACGATGATCAGTCCAATTCGCCTCGAGCTTGATGAGTTAAATTTCTCAAGAAGAAAATCGTTACCAACCATTACAAAATGGGATATCGAAACCCCTA